CCCCCTTCCCCTCAGCGACACAGGCATCAGTGCTGCAAAAGCCCAGGTCCAAGGCTAAAACTAAAGTAAACTAAAGCTTAAAGTAACTCTAGACTAAAGCAACTCTAAATAGCAGTGTTACAAGTCTATTCCTCCGCCGCCCCCTCCCCCAGAAGTCCGTCCCAGATCTGCCTGAAGGTTTACAATAAAATGATGATGCACCGAAGCCAGTGGGACAAGAACTATATAAGAGATACTGGTCTGACTGAAAAATTTTAAAAACTACTCGAAACTGCATACGGAAGGACCACATGAGTGCTACAGGCGTAGCTAACGACTACCTTTCCCCTCACCTTCCCAATCGAGAATTCAGGCCTTGTTTTGAAGGAGTGATGCACGGAGGCGAAACGTGGTACGGCGAAAATAGGCCAAAAAATGCCGCCTGTAACGAAGACAGACACTGAAGAATGGTCTGGAGCATATTTCAACGTAACCGTACTAACAACCATTTATTCGATCAAATGAGTGACATGCAAACATTGCTGTGGATTCGCGAAAAAATTTTCAGTGCACGACACACTGATCACACATTGCTGATAACTACTGGACGTTGCATCTCGCTGAAAAAATGGTACACGATGGAGAGAAAATAGCCACTCCATCGGCGATTGCATGTATATAACTGAGACAGCTAGTGTAACTCTAACTGCGGTCGACGTGTAAGCGCACTTTGTCAAAACCAATTTAGATGCTGCGGAATTTTCCAAAAAGCCTTGGTGGACCATTAATAATTTATGCTTCATTGTGACAGATGGAAATCGTTCGCCGCAACGTTTGGTTTGTAAAGTTGGACGAATGCCTCGAACGGATGGGAGTACTAAGCAACCGGCACGGGCACCCCTTATCATTCCCATCAATTGTCAATCGAAGCTTCGGTACAGTGAGACATCGTTTGCATAAATAGCTATTGCTACCACTGTCGCTTCTCGAAGAGGGCTGCTTAGGTCACTGTGGTGACACACAAACGCGCATTTCCATTGTTCCACGCACAATGATAAAGCAGCAGCAGCTTCAACGACTTGACCAGCCAGCAACCCTCGTTCCGCTAGCTTCTCTATGTACGCTATAACCATTTCATGGCATTCCGCTAATCATGGCGAAATTATTAAAATGGCAAGCCACCGTGTCTGGGCCATTTCCATCACCAGAAGAGACAAGTGCCTACACTTTGTATAATAATTGGCCAACGCACGGGCTGTCCGTGCGAGGTTGCGTTTTTTGCATAGTTCCCCGCAATTTTTGTCGCTACCGGCACCGATTTTTTCGGCACACGCTTCTAGCTAAACAAATTAAGACTGGCCGCCAGAACTGTCAGAAAGTACCTCCTTAAAATTCCAGCTTTCTAGCTTCTTGGCTCCTGAGCTAGCAACTTACTGGAAGAAAAATTCACGGACCCGCACGTGGGTGCCACGCATACCTGGGGACTGAGTTTGAGCTCTTTAATACTTACTTGGACGGAGAACATCCCCCTAAGATTTCAGCATTCTAGCATCTCAGATCCCTGAGTTATGAACTTACACGAAGAAAATTTTGGCGGGATCGTACGCGGGTATCACGCGAGAAAGACTGCCCATTTTGGGGATTGGGGCCCGTACGTGCATGTAGATTAAGTTACCAAAGCTTCAGCCCTGTAGCTTTTGTAGGTCTTGAAACGAAAAAGCGTGACAGACGGACACACAAACACACACAGACAACCCATCGTTAGTATGCGTTTTCTGCATTGCAAAGCTGCAAAAAACGCATAAAATTGAATGAGCGATCGGTGTAGTGGATCACGAATACTAGTAATATACACCTGCATAGCAAATGCAGTTCCGATGTTTTCTATTCTAGCCAAGGACTACTGCCCGAGCCTAGAGGGGGACAGTCATCCTGCACTTCCTGCTATCACTTGTAAATTATTTTTACTTTGGACTCAAATATAGTATACATTCTTCCTACGACCGCTATCAAATCAGTCATCATAAATCAATCAGAATTGTCGGCTGAAACGACCTCCAGTGAGGAGGTCCTAAATCTGGCCGGTCATTGCCGAACATAAATACTTTCGCGCTAGAGGATCTACCACAGTTACATTGAATTTGTAGCTGCATTTCAGTAGCAGGCCCTAGCTCAAGACGGCCTGATAATCAGCATAATTTGAAAGTGCAAATAAATTTCAAAATTCCATGTCACTGGAATCCAAAAAAGGGCT